TGCAACAGAAGTGCACCCAAATACATTGGCACGGCAACAGTTATAGAGGAAAATGGGAGTAGAGTAATATTTATTAACATGGGACATTATTTCTTGAGGACTCCAATGAGCTGTAAATAANATCGAGAGGCAATATGAACAACAACAGCCCAGTGGATCAGATATTGCCCATTCGGATTCTCAATCAATTCGTGCAAATGAGCTTGCTCATGAGTACACAGAGAGACAATTGGCAGACAAATAATCCCGTGTCTCCCAATTTGAACAGAGCATCTAACTTGAACGCTCCTCCACCGACACAGCTTCTATCCCACCAAACACACTCATTGGAATATACAATGGGTGCCACAAACTTTGCGCAAGCCCCACCAGTGTCCAATGCAGACATAACGCAGGGTAAGTCTCCATTCGTTGAAAGCTATCTTAAGCTAATTCTTATTTTTGATCGCAAATGTTCCTCAACTTCATTTCAGGTCCAGAGGCAACTACTCGTGAAACCCAACGGTCTCGATCAGTGAGTTCAGTATTCACAAACGTAGAAATGCCAAACCAAGTCGTGATTACAAACCAGCAAACAACCTCACCTGTAAACAATCCATCACAGCCGCATTATGTCAGAAGACGACGACAACGACGAGCCAACCGGCAGACACAGTATTCATGCAATATGTGTGAAGAATCATTTTGTAGAGCTAGGCATTTGATTGAGCACACCAAAGCTGTGCATGGCAAGTTCAAATGCCAAACGTGTGGTCAAAGGATTGCAAGTCGACCCAATCTATTGCGTCACGAAATAATGCACTCCGATCAACGTCCACATAAGTGTAGCATTTGCTCCAATGACTTCTATCGTCAAGATCATTTAAAGCGTCATATGGACAGCAAGCATCGAGGTTATAATGCAGAATTGGATATGGTTAGAGTTGATGCAACAGAAGTGCACCCAAATACATTGGCACGGCAACAGTTATAGAGGAAAATGGGAGTAGAGTAATATTTATTAACATGGGACATTATTTCTTGAGGACTCCAATGAGCTGTAAATAAAATCGATTTCCTTCTGATACTGGATGTTGGAGACCTTCGTACTTCAGTAACCATCCCATTGCAGTTTCTTCCTTCTCCTTTCAACCTAAATCTTCCTTCGGCATGCAATTCTTAAGTGGTATGATTTACAGACATAAGATTCTGCAGATCGTCCATTGGAAGTGAATAAGCACACACAAAATATCTCCTCTTCTTGGTCCTGCTCAATTTTATTTATCAGCTCGAACACGTTTCCAATAGCCCAGATCTGAAGCATGCCAAATTCCCTTTCAGCTCAAACTTCATCATTCCTTCATGAACCCTTTCACATATTTACTGTATCAAGTATACTTGCGGTCGAACTCAACTCACGGTTTTGGCATTTTCAATGTACTATTTCATTCTGCTGGTTCTTAGTGAATTTGACTACTTTGAAAGAAGCAGTCCAATATTTCAATTTTCTCCACTTTTGATGTCGATTTACCGATTAATGTCTAAGAAGGCAGTGATTCCGTTAGTCTATTTCCTTGCCATTTCATGTTTTAGATATTATTTTGGCTTTTACAACAAATTGTAATAGTCGAAATGGTGTTTTGGTGGAGCAAGAGAATTATCAGCTTTAAGAATAGAATGCGTGGAGAGCTTAGAAATTGGCGATTCCAAGAGTTTTATGTTTAGAACAATCAGACAGTTAGCATTTGGAAGTGGATTTTGCAACACACAGACACACATAAATATATATATATATATATATATATATATATATCAAATGACAGACGATTTGATAGTTATCATTAGCCCTTCAGCTGACTTTTGGGGCTTCACAGGGAGGAAAAGGAACATCAAAGGGACAAAAAGTCGAGAGGGGTAACAGAAGAGTGATTCACAGATGTAAAAGAGAAATACAGACAGACACAAAGGCATAAAAAGGTAAGATGCGTACTGTGGAAGGGTTCGAATATGACAAATAGCCGGGCCATAGTAGATTGAATTCAGAAGTCAACTGCCAGTTAATAGACTTTTTTGCGGTATGAGTACACGTTGCCCAGGGTGCACCACGTGGAGGTAAGTCTATTGCGCACTACTATATATATATATATATTCTTCGGCCCGTTAAAAAATTTTAAAACTGTTTACTCTAATAGTCATACCAAAAGACTTTACGTATCTGAAGTAGATTGGGATTGTTCGTGGGGGTCAAAATATTTTTCACGAAATACGTCTGTATCCTCTAGAAATTTTTGGTGCTGCAGCTAATCTTGGGAACCGTTTCTAACAAGGCGAAATTACCACAGAGGTTACTGAGTATAGTCAACGCTTGCCAGAGTAGCCATCACAAATCACACGACAACTGATAAATGGATAGATAGTCAAAGTGATTGATTACAGAATAGATTGTTAAGTAGAACACTGGAAGAGCTAACTTAGGCGAAATTATAAGACACAGTTTTCATTTGTTTTGTACCTTTATTAATTAGTCTTGCCACCGTTGTCAATTAATTAGTACTTATTCGGGTGAAGTAGTTGACTTTAATGCACCCCGTAGTTGCCATGTTAAGCAAATTAAAATTTCGGAATACACTTTAGGCGGAAAAAGTACAACAAAGATTTAAGAAAGTTGGAAGCAAGAAAGTACTAAACTCAAATTATGTCCGTGCAGCTGGGAAATAAGTCAATGTTTAGTTTAAAGAAATTCTG